GGACATGGTCCGAATCACGCACCTAGAAATCACGCACCTAGAATCACGCACCCATCGCACGCACCCAAAAGGTGCGTGCTGTGGGTGCGCGCGCGCCAGGTGCGCCGAGGTGAGGCCAGGCGCGCTGCCCGGTGCGGTGCGTCGAGGTGTGGCGCGCGCGGACGACGCCGGGCGGGATTTCCAGCTTGCTAGGCCAGAGCAGACAGGCTAGGCCGCACGGCAGCGCGCCCGCGCGAGTGCGCTCGCCCCGCGCCCTTGAGGAACTTGACAGGGCCTCGGCCGGGCACGGCCTCGAGCGACCGGCGGGCCCCCCCTGGAGGAACTTGACGGGCGGAGGCTTCCGCGCGCTACCTTGCTGGCTCGAGCCCCGCCGGGCCCGGCCCATCGCCCCGGCAATCGCCTCCCGCGCGGCTGGGCTCCGCCAGCCCCGAGGGGCCGGCCGAGAAGCGGGCGGAGTCCCGCCCCCCCCAACGTCGAGTGAGGCGGGCGCCACAGCCCACCGCCGCCCGCAAGCCCGGGCCGCGGGCTGATGGTCGCGCGTCGGTTCGTCGCGGGCCGGGCAGCATGCGGGCCCGGGAGCGAGTTGGCAGGCTGGCTGGCTCCCGAGGCGAGAGCGGGCGCGCTCGCAGGCAGAGAGAAGGCAGCGGCGCGGGGACGGGCGCGGCGCCCGGCAATCGCATCGCCAGGGCCCGCCCGCGTATGCTTTCCCGGCCGCGCCGACCCTTGCAGGGCAGCAGCGTGCGCCCCGAAGGCCCCCCGACATAGGCTCGCGCTCCTGGCCGGGCAGGCGCCACCTGCCGGCCACTTACACACGCCGGGGCGCGCAGACCCATGGCGCCACGTGCTCACGCGCTTCTTATTTTCATGCCCCCCCGCGCTGGCCCGCCAGTCTAGGCGCGGGGTTACGCGCCACGGAAAGCAGTGGCGACCCCTTGCTGCATCTACGAAAAGCGACTCCCGGTCGGCGCTCCACCACCTACAAAAAAACACCTATGACCACGAAACAGCGCCCCAAAAAACAGATATCAACATACAGAACTGCGCGCCGCCCGAACCAACGACGACGACCTAAGGCGGAAAACGAAACGCCATGCAAATCAAATCCATCTCCATGCCAAGTCTGTGTCTCTCACCTTGTTTTATCTGCCGCACGCAGCAGATGCTAAAAGTGCAGCAGTTTGCATTGCGTTTACATTTTGTCAGAGCGAATTCTGACACGAGCGAATTCTGACACTAGATCGCTCGAACTAAGAAAGAGAAAAAGGGAAGAAACCAACGACCCGATGTATCCACAGGTAAAAATCTAGGAGCACAACCAAAGATAGCACTGCCAGTCAGCCAGATAGTATTTTGTAGCAAGCGTTAGCTACTTTCGCGTTCTTTTTTTGATAGCTAGAAAACAAAAAATCTCCTACCAAGGCATAGTGGATAGTTTATTCCTTCTTTTCCAAATTCGTTCGGATGCCACTTTGCGTTCTTTGAGAAACAAAAGTTTAGATGTCATCTTGCTTGCATGATTTGAAAACCGAAAATTACAACTTGCGTCTATGAATGCGCAGGAGGCCGTTTGTGTACAGATATAAATATGAATCTACGTCGCACGTACTTCCAGAAGTTTTTCCTCGTAAGCATCGCTCTTCTGCGTGCCTGGCTATGTGTCTCGTCTTTCCTTTCATTCTGAGCATCGACATGAATTCCGACGATGCTTCATTCATTCATAACTTATCTTTTTTACGGATGTAGATAGAGATACTCACTCACTCACTGATGTGTATCCGGGAGAATGAAGCGTGACCCTTATAAATATATTGCGAACAAATGCGACCCCTCGTTGGTGTGTGTGCACTTCCTTCACCTTCGTGTTCGTTGGTGCGGCGAGCAGGAACCTGTTGTAAGTTCAGTAGTTAAGAGTAATTATAATTTGCAATAGTGTCCCTCGGAAGATCTACGACTTGAAAAAGTGTACTGCTGTGACTGCTTGGAATTGCGACTGCTCTACGGCGTCGGCAGCCGCGGCGAGTGTGTCAGTCAGCGCGATTTACTCCTGCAAGTGTGACAAGCTCCTCTAGCATGCCCAGGACATGCCTGAAGTGCTCGGAACAAGCGCAATCAGTCCGCGCATCACTCGACTTTGAAACTCTCACACACCAACATGACGCGCATGCATTATGGGCCTGGCATCATGAAGATGAAAAGGCACGCGGCGATTTTATTTTTCCTGTCATTTACATTCAGCCGCAGCAAAATAAATATCAAAGGCAACAAAATACCCATACCGCAGGTGCCTCGACGTCTGGTGGTCGATCATAATGTTGATGTAAAAACCGATATTGTAATCCTTGAAGGTCGGGTGGGGCTGCTTGAAATCTATGTCGTTGATATACCTGTAACATTGCAGAGCTTCGTATGTTCAAACTTTCCTACTGTGACTGCTTGATGGAATTGCGACTGCTCTACGGCGTCGGCAGCCGCGGCGAGTGTGTCAGTCAGCGCGATTTACTACTGCAAGTGTGCCAAGCTCCTCTAGCATGCCCAGGGCATGCCTGAAGTGCCCGGAACAAGAGCAATCAACTCGCGCATCACTCGAGTTTGAACTTTTCACACATCAAGGCGACGTAACGAAGATGAAAGATGCGCGCCGCTTTTATTTTTTTTTTTCCTGTCATAGTCATTTACATTCAGCTGTAGAACAATAAATATTAAAGCGGCCAGCAAAATGCCCATACCGCAGCTGCTTCTTCTGGTGGTCGATCATAATGCTCCTGACACACAACCGTATATCGTAGTCCTTGAAGTTCGGGCGGGGCTACTTGAAATCTATGTTGTTGATATACCTGCAACGTTGCAGAGTTTCGTATTTTCAAGTTTGCATTTATGAAAAAACACAGGCTCAATACGAGGTCACTGCTTTGTGATGCATGCAAAACGCGATCTGGTCAAAATTGATGAACAACGTGCCGCGTCAAATTGCGAAGTGATGAACTCCAAGACACGTGCAATCTGGTCAAATTGCGCACTCAAAGAAACCAGTACCATCAGACGCCACATCATTGGTTTTAACGAACGGAGCAGCGAGAATCTGGGAAGGGGGCGTTCATATCAGGCACATGTATTTCTGGATCTGGGAGGTAGAAGCGAAGTCGTGCTATAATCTGTGTTGCGTGAACCATTATTCGTGCTTGCTGAAGCGCGTGTTCCATACCTGATTGAGTTTGACAGAACCACGCAACTATCTGCACCGTGTATTTTCAAAATCGTCGCGCGCGGTGCCTAGCTCGACTAATGTACTAGGGGGGATCATCACACGGCGGAGTGGGTATGGGCGCCGCAAGTGCTTCGCGGCTTCCCAAGCTCTAACGCTTTCTCTTGGGGTTGTTAGGAGTCCCCCCGACGAGGTAGGGTGTGCGGCAGCTTGCGCCGCGACAAAGCAGGATGTCCTGCTCAGCCCTGCACTCCGGTTCGGGGGTCGCTTCGCCCGGGGCAAGCGACCCTCTCCCCGGGCTCGGACCGGGTTTGAGGGTCGGTTGGCCCGGGGCCAGCGACCCTCCTGCCGAGTCCGGACCGGGTTCGAGGGTCGGTTGGCCCGGGACAAGGGACCCTCTCCCCGGGTCCGGACCGGGCTCGAGGGTAGATTGGCCCCGAACCGGAGCCCTCTCGCCGGGTCCTAGCATTTTGGATTCAACCCGAGCGAAACCCATGGGGATTCAGTCCGAGCGCTCATTTCTAGACCGGGCGACATGGTGGTTTTCCTTGCGCGCAAGCAAGGGACGCCTTGGCATTGCCCTTAAGACAGAGGCGTCGCGCCGCGTTCGTACCTAGACACGATGGCGCGCGCCATTTTTCTGGATCTTTGCTGGCAGTTAGTTCTGTTTGGGCGGTCGCCGTCTCGCGACGCTACTACGCCGCGGGGCTA